AACCTGGCGACCTCGTCTACAACTCAGGCACCCTGACGTGCATGGCTAACAGCACCTTATTCAGAGCCGACCTGGTGGTACCTCGTCAATACCGATCGAAGTGACCTCGATGTGAGGAGTGACCTCCCTCGAAGGGCTTGCCAACCTGATTGAGGTTCGGGTGGCAACTTGCGAGACGTGCTCGCCAACCAACTCTGCATGCATCCCGTCACTCCCAGGTCTCTCGAAAGTTAGCTCTCACACCAAATGTTTCGGAGGAAACCGAGTAAGGCGCAAAGATTGGCCTACATGCACGACTACTTCCGAGGACTTTGGACCAGTTAGACACGTCTTCCCGGAAATCCCGGACGTGGTGCGTGATGCCCACGCCAAACAATACCTATATAAAGGCCTTACCTCCAACCTCAAAAGGTACATGTGGAATTTAGTTCTCATAGCTCTCCAGCTCTCTCATATTTAGCTATCTTAAAAATCTTTGATTCGCTGACTTAAGCATCGGAGTGCCCACCCCAGGTAAAGCAACCCGAGCACTCTGACACTGTTTCCTTGCAAGTCACACCAGTAAACTATGCAGTTTGCCACCTTTAGCTAGGGACAGTTCAGCTAGGCGTCAGAGCCACCTTCAGCTAGGGACAATTCAGCTAGGCATCAGAGCCACCTTCAGCTAGGGACAATTCAGCTAGGCGTCAGAGCCACCTTCCAAGTAGGGACAGTTCAGCTAGGTGTCAAAGCCACCTTCCAGGTAGGAACCGCTCAGCTAGGTATCCGAGCCACCTTCCAGCTAGGAACCAATCAGCTAGGCGTCCAAGCTACATTCCAGGTAGGGATTGTTCAGCTAGGCATCCGAGTTACCTGCCAGTCGGGAGCTGCCAAAACGTGCATCATCAATAACATTTATTTTATTACCATTTTTTAAAGAATATAAGGTATTCCGGTATTTAAAATAATTTATATACATTGTTGTAACATTTACTTTATTAATGGAGAAACTTGTGGTATTTACAATGATTTATATACATACTTCCTTGTCAAGGATGGTATTTACTAGCCCACACATTATTTAAGTTGTAACTATTACAGATAGCTTTCATTTGTAACCCCCAAATGTCTTTGACACTTGAAACTAGAACAACAATATTTTAGATAAAACTTTAGTAACAAGACACATCAAAAAAGCAAATGCATTTCTTGATCAAATAGATGCCCCTTAATAAATCACCACATGTGAGAGAAAACTTGTCCTCAAATCCTTTGCTAGTGTTTCTAGTACTTTGGGAGGATGGTGGATGCATCAGTCCAAGGAATTTTTAATTCCTTCTTCAAAAGGCACACCTATTCCACTTTGGCAAAAAAGAAAACACACATACTATTGTACCATCTGCAAACCAAGAATTGCAAGTTTAAAAGGTGTTTTTCCATGCACATGAAGGCTAGTTAAATTAAGCATTTTCTCAATTGTCCAATTCCTTCATTTCCATTCAATTAAAACGATATAAACAGTTTTCATAGGGCCTTCCATTAGTTTGAAGGACATCTCTTTATTCAGCTCATTTTTTTTTTAAATGAAGATGTATTGACTAATTCCAATCATTCAGTACAATTGGTGGTTTGTATCAAGGGCAATCCATCATTGCCTTAAATGTTTCTTGCTTCATTTTGCAGACAACCTGAATATTCTTTTTTTAATTTTTCCATTAAAGTCTCATCCAACTCAATTTCTTTTTTCAGCAGAAATAAATTCACTTCAATAACTAATGCTTCACCAAAATCTCCATGTATTCTCCCATCCTAATCTAGGTTATCAATA